GGATCTTTGTATTTGGTGGGAGGCGTGGGGGGTGGAATTTGTTGTGCGCGTGTGTTGGGTTGTGGAGGGATGGAGGAGTCCCTGGCGCTCTCGTTCTGGGATATCCCGAGTGAGTCCCGTCTCTAAACACCCGCGGGGGTTAGAGAGGGGCGTCTCTTCACCGCCCCCACCACCACCACCACCCACTACGAACTGTGGGATCCGCTTAAATTAGCACCCAACACGACTGACTCCCCATCGGCTTGGCTTGGCGATCGCCAACGTTTGTACGCGGCCCTAATGGGTTTAGTTAATGAGCAACAAGAGAGAGACACTCCGCGAAGCTCGCGGTTACCGTGCTGCTATGTATATAGACATGTGTGTGTGTGTGGGTGTGTGTGTGGTGCTGTGTGTGTGTGGTGCTGTGTGTTATGTTATATGTGGGGAGCGACAGTGTAGCGGTTAGCGCGCTGCGCTATGAACCCGGCGACACGAGTTCGATTCCCGCTCACGGCCAACACCAGTGACCATTATCTGAACCGGTCCTGGGCCTCCCCTAGGTCGACTCAGCCTCAAATGAGTACCTGGTGCGGTGTGTAAACATTGCCTCTAGGGAGACAAAGGCGGTCGGGCGTGGTGCTGGCCACCCACCCCCTCGTGTACCGTTCCGGCCTTCATAGGTGCTCGCTAACAGCACTTGCCCCTACAGTCTGTTAAGGCTATACGGGGGATCTTTGTCTTTGTGTTATGTTATGGTGCATCAGCCAGTCATCTCGGTCATCTCAGTCAGTCGACCCGTGACACCTGCTGGGTCTGCCCCGTGACCTCCTTGCCAGCGGGCGTTCGACACTTCACGTGGCCTCAAGGTGCACTTGGCCTGGCACAAGCGTCGTGGTGACGTCACCGCCACTTAGTGGCGAATGGCGGTTGTTGTGGGTGTGTGTGGGGGTGGGGGTTGTGTGGCTGAGTCATGTAGCCCGCATGCCCAGCCACCGCATGCCTAAACAGATTTTTGTTCGGCAGGATCGAGGTGGCTAAACGGGCGCGGCACGGGCTAGAGAAGAGATGGAGTGATGTGGTACAGGAGGATGTGGAGCTGAGTGGACTTGCCAATGACTGGTACCGGCGGTGTTAAGATCGGCCTCTGTGGAGGAGGCTCGTGAAGGACGCTGCTGGGCAGTCGCCCTCCAACAACAACGGAGGGCGGAGGAGCAACGCTCACAACAACGAGCGGAGTGCCGGGTGGCTAAAGCACAGCAAGTTGGCACAGTAGGAGGCACAGGTGGTGCATCAGCCAGTCATCTCGGTCATCTCAGTCGGTCGATCCGTGGCACCTGGGTCTGCCCCGTGACCTCCTGCCAGCGGGCGTTCGACACTTTACGTGGCCTTAACGTGCACATAGCCTGGCACAAGCGTCGTGGTGACGTCACCGCCACTTAGTGGCGAATGGCGGTTGTTGTTGGGTGTGTGTGGGGTTGCTTCTTCACGTCTGCATTGTCATCATCACCATACATAGCACAGTTGGCTTCGTACGGTCCGAAAGAAGTTCAACACACACACACACATAACACGGTTGGCAACGTACGATGCAAAATAAGTTCAACACACACACATAACACGGTTGGCAACGCACGGTGCAAAATAAGTTCAACACAAAATCGCACATAGCAAAAGTGGCTACAAATGCTGCTACGGGCCCAGCACTTTCAAGGGCCCCGCGCTAAACGCTTTAAAGCTATCAATTCCGGTTCAGTGATTCTGCACTTGCTCTATTACTATAGTACTATACCGCCCTCGACTTTTACGAACGACGGGGTGTATAAGGTTGACGATTTGTCGTATTATCTGGCCGTATAGCAAATGAAAAAAAATGCAATTAGTTTTAGTGTGCATGCAAAAAAAGTTTTTTTTTATTTTAACGTTTTTTTTTAGAATTATAATTTAGGGCCCCATTTATAACATCATGTGCAACAGGCCCCGCAGGCACCGAGCTTCATCCGGCACTGCGTGTCTCTCCCCCCCCCCTCCCGCATGTTTGCTCCAGCTGTGTTGTAAGCCGCCGCCCGTTCGCGTTGTAAATCCCCGAACGGGACGCAATGAGCCCGCGCGCTAATCCGCAGCTGTAGGTGGCGGTATTGAGCGGCCGGAAATTTGCACGCACCTCCGCTTAGCACCGATTGGCTGCGTACGGCGCGAAAGAAGTTCAACACACACATCACGGTTGGCTAGGTACGGTGCAAGATAACTTCCACACACACACAGCACGGTTGGCTACGTACGGTGTGAAAAAAGTCCAACACACACAGCACGGTTGGCTTTCGTGACTGCAGGAATTCATACTCTTTGGGTCTTTCAGTAAAGTCACGTAGAAAAATAAAAAATGACGATGATTATTTTATTATTTTTTCTCCATCTACGCGACTTTAGCGAAAGACCCAAAGAGTATAAATGCGTGATGTTGATTATAAATGTGCAGGAAAAATTTCCACACGACCACAGGGAGAGAGACACACGCAAAATCCAAATATATAGAAGGTATCGTCAGGGTCCCGGATTGAACCCACGACCTCCTGTATGCCAGGCGAGGTAGTTAACATCTCGCCACCGCAGTTAAGACACAGACAAAGACCCTCCCTATAGCCTCAACAGACCGTTGGGGCAAGTGCTGTTGGCGAGCACCTATGAAGGCCAGCACTGTTGAACACAAGTGGGTGGGTGGCCAGCACAACGCCCGGCCACCTCTGCCTCCTTTCGTGGCGATGTTTACTACACACCTCACCAGGCACTCCATTTGAGGCCGAGTGGACCTAGGGGGGGGCATGACCGGTTCAGATAATTGTCACTGGCGCTGGCTGTGAGTGGGAATCGAACTCGGGTATCTGTCGGGCTCGTAGCTACACGCATGCTCACACACGTGTACACATACAAACAAAGACGAAGATCCCCCACATAGCATTAGCCGACTGTTGGGGCAAGTGCTGTTCGCGAGCACCTATGAAGACCGGCACCGCACACGAGGGGGTGGGTGGCCAACACCACGCCCGGCTGACTTTGTCTCCTCAATAGCGATGTTTACTACACACCGCACCAGGTACTCATTTGAGGCCGAGTCGACCTAAGGGAGGCCCAGGACCGGTTCAGATAACACTATGTAACACGATTTTTGTTCCTGGGTAGTAAGTGTTATTTTCTAATTGCTTATGCTTCAAAAGTATAGAAAATGGCTATTGTTCCCCATGAACTTTGCTTTTGTGACCAGGACTTTACGTGAAGGAATGACACACATGCACACCACGTTGTCTCATTGACAATAGCTACACTTCAAAATATCACTCTCCTGATCATTAAAGCAAAGTTTGTGGGGAATAATAGCCATTTTCTGTACTTTTGAGGCATAAGCAATTAGAAAATAACACTACCCAGAACAAAAAAAATGTTTTTGTTACAGAGTGCAGGGTGGCGCTAACCACTGCACTACCGCTCCCCCCACACACACACGTACACACACACGTACATACACACACACTTACACACACATACCTACACACGTGTACACCAATACCAACAGCCGACATTCGCCACCAAGTGACGGTGACGTCACCACGGCGTCTGTGCCAGGCGAGGCGCACTTTGAGGCTACCACGTAAAGTGTTGAAGGCTCGCTGACAGGAAGAGATCTCGGGACAGACCCAGCAGGTGCCATGGGTTGACCGACTGAGATTACCGATAGATGCACCACCAGCTGTACCCCCCTACTGTGCCAGGCTATGTGCAGGAGGTATCGGGACAGACCCAGCATGTGCTATGGGTCGGCTGACTGAGATGACTGATAGATGCACCACCAGCTGTACCCCCCTACTGTGCCAGGCTAGGTGCAGGAGGTATCGGGACAGACCCAGCATGTGCCATGGGTCGGCTGACTGAGATGACTGATAGATGCACCACCAGCTGTACCCCCCTACTGTGCCAGGCTAGGTGCAGGAGGTATCGGGACAGACCCAGCATGTGCCATGGGTCGGCTGACTGAGATGACTGATAGATGCACCACCAGCTGTACCCCCCTACTGTGCCAGGCTAGGTGCAGGAGGTCTCGGGACAGACCCAGCAGGTGCCATGGGCTGACCGACTGAGATGACCGGTAGATGCACCACTAGCTGTACCCCCTACTGTGCCAGGCTAGGTGCAGGAGGTATCGGGACAGACCCAGCATGTGCCATGGGTCGGCTGACTGAGATGACTGATAGATGCACCACCAGCTGTACCCCCCTACTGTGCCAGGCTAGGTGCAGGAGGTCTCGGGACAGACCCAGCAGGTGCCATGGGCTGACCGACTGAGATGACCGGTAGATGCACCACTAGCTGTACCCCCTACTGTGCCAGGCTAGGTGCAGGAGGTCTCGGGACAGACCCCAGCAGGTGCCATGAGTTGACTGAGATGACTGGAAGATGCACACATGTACACACAACCACTGAGAGAGGGGATGCTACAGTGAGCTCCTGAAATTATTGTTTTATTGTCTTACAATATGGACAACTTCTACGGTAATATCTGTTGCTTTTTGCTTGGTGGAGGTATTTTGAGTACTTAAGTGTCGTTTTGAACGTGTGTGTTTTTGTTTGTAGCAATGCTATAATTGTTTCTGGTAGTGAGGCCTTGTCATCCTGGTGTGTAGATGAGGCCTGACTAGCCTAGATCGGTCTAGCCCACGCCTTTGCTTAAACACCGCCCCCTCCCTCTTCCCTCTGTTAACTCAAGTCTCAGTTGCCCTCTCTGTGTTATTTTCCGTGACATGTGGCCAGATTTTAGTTTGTTTCTGCCATATTTGGGTCTTGTAATGCTGCACCAGGCCTTGGAGGCCTATTATCTAGGCAAGCCTGCCTTCGTAAACTATGCTCCTAAGTTAACAATATTCTTCTCCCCTATCACTTTTTCCACTGCCATTTATACATCCTGTTGTGTTGCCCTCTAATTATTTTGTATCCCCCACAGTGGGTTGCGTGTGCTCTCTGCACCCACGCACCTCTGGTGCTTGACTGCAGCGTATCCTGACCCACAAACACATCAGGATAACTACAGCAGTGATTAATACATCAAGTGTCTGGGATTGTAATAACGCTGTTCGGCTGTCGCATCGATAGTGTAGTTTTGACGCAGGAGTGTTCGGGTACAGTATTGTTAGTGTAGCAATGTGTTATAGTTTTTTTCAATTAAGACTTTTATTAAGGCCACGTAGGCGAGCCTAACAGCTGATGGAAAGTCAACTCCTGCAGCCTGCCGTACGTAAGTGAATGCCGCCTTCGCGAAGCCGCAGCATGCACCAGAAGTCGCAACCAGGTACCCGATACCCGTACCCTACCCGATACCTGGCTTCCCGTACCCGGCCGAGTACGGGTACCCGTTTGCGACCCTGGTGCGGCCGGGTACGGGTACGGGTAGGCCGTGAGTCACTAGTGAGTCACCGTTTGTCACTCATTTCCCAACGTCTTGTCTCTTCTCACAATTCAAGTTCCTAGAATCAACCCACCCGCGCCTGCAACATAACTTCATCCCAGAGGTCGCAATCGGGTACCCGATACCCGTACCCTACCCGATACCCGGCCGGGTACGGTACGGGTACGGCCGGGTACGGGTACCCGTTTGCGACCCTGGTGCGGCCGGGTACGGGTAAGGAATCAAAACCCGTTTGCGACCTCTGAGGAGCCTCCACTCCTTGTTCCAACTGCTCCAGTTTTGGCTGCACTCCTCTCCCACGCCCTTTAACCTGGGCCGCAACGCCACTGGCAACGAGGACATTCGGGAGCCCCCTATTTTAGTGCCCTGCTGAGCTACGGGAAGCTATCCATTTGCAGAGCCAGTCGGCAGGCGGTAGAAAGCACGGGCATGATGGTGGGGAGCCTGCAGCTTTAACTGCCTACTCATGTGAGCGAGGCTCAAACTGGACTCAAATAACACGGTTACCTGAGTTGTGTTCAGAATGGGGAGCTGGTGGGGTGCTCTGCTCAGTGGATAAGAGAGGCACGAGGTGTAAATCGGTGCTGCACATATAGGCTTTGTAATGTGCACGCGGTGGCTTTCAATAATCACGGTTGCTTTATATTGAGTACAATTAAATAGCATAAACAAATGAAATTATAAACAACTGATCATGTATTTGATGGACTTGAGACGTTCAACTGATCTGAAATAATAAAATAAAAAACGTGCGCACACACACGCCCGCCCCCCCCCCCCCCCTTCAAATAAATAAATCAGTGCTCGAGGCCGATTTCGCCTTTCGCAGCTGCCACGCGGCGTCGTTTCGCACTGCGGAAGAGCATCCTGCGGATCTCGGCCGTCCTCAGTCCGTAGATGACGGGATTCACGAGACCCGGCATTGAGTAGTATAGGGTCACGGCGAGCGACAGGTAGCTGGGCGGCAGCCTTATGAGAGACGCGATGGCGGTGAAGCTGAACAGGAAGAGGTGGAAGCTGAAGAAGACGAGCAGCACGAAAAAGTGCGTCACGTACGTGTGGATCGCCTTCGCCTGGCTGGCGCGCGTGCTTGCCTTGCGGCACTCGATGAGCACAAGAAAGTAGGTGGGCACAATGAGGGCGAGCGGGGCCACGGTGGTCATGACTGAGGCGAACGCGTTGAACATCTCGTGGTAGGTCAGCGGGTCGCACGAGAGCATGCAGAGGAGAACAAAGTCGCACACGGGCGTCAGCATCACTCCGGGCTTGCACAGCCTCAGGGTGCGGGCGAGGAGCGGGTAGCCGAGCGCGACGAGGGCCGACGCGGCGCAGATGATGACGACGGCGCGCGCGGCGACCGCCGACGTGGCGGCGGCGCCGTAGCGCAACGGGTGGCAGATGGCCACGTAGCGGTCGACGGACATCGCGGTGAGCACGTAGCTCTGCACGCGCAGGAAGAGGCCGTTGAAGAAGATCTGCGTCGCGCACTCGGCCACCGTAATGCGGCCGTCGGTGGTGGTGACGATGTCGCCGGCAATCCGCGGCAACGTCGTAGTGCTGCCGGCCGCGTCGGCCGCTGCGAGGGCGGCCATGAACACGTACATGGGCTTGGAGCGCAGGCGGCGGTCGGCAAGGATGGTGGAGGCCAAGAGGCCGTTGGCGCACACGATGGCCGCGTAGAGGAGGAGGAAAGCGCAGAGGGTGAGGTAGCGCGCCATCGGAGGCTCCCTGAAGAGGCCCGTCATGTAGAGAAAGTCCGAGGAGTTGGAGGTGGACGGAGGCGCGGCGAGAGACGACGAATTCGTCGACTCCATTCGGCGGGTGATGCACCGCGGAGGTGGAGCTGGCGGCCACGAGGAGGTGGCTGGGCGGGTTTGGTGGGGGGGAGGCAGTAAAGAAACAAGTCACACATCGAGATGAGTCTGTGGCACAGTTGGCACAAGGGGGGGGGGGGGAGCAGGGCACAGGTGGTAGGTGGTGCATCGGCACAGTCATCTTAGTCAGCCAACACGTGGCACCTGCGGAGTTTGTCCAGTGACCTCCTGCCAGCGGGCCTTCGACACTTCGTGTGGCCCTAAGGTTAACACCTAGCCTGGCACAAGCACCGTGGTGCACATCACACCAGAGGTCGCAAACGGGTTTTGATTCCCTACCCGTACCCTACCCGAAATGAGTGACAAACGGTTACTCACCAGTGACTCACGGCATACCCATACCCGGCCGCACCAGGGTCGCAAACGGCTACCCGTACCCGGCCGGGTACGGGTAGCCGGGTATCGGGTAGGGTACGGGTATTGGGTACCCGGTTGCGACCCACTTAGTGACAACTGGCGGTTGTTGCTGTTGTGGAGGTGATGAGGAGCGGTGGTGTAGCGCTACGCTACGAAAGCGGACTGCCCGAGTTCGATTTATCGCGCTCACGTCCGACACCAGTAACGATTATTTGAACCGCTGCTGGGCCTCCCCCTAGGTCGACTCGGCCTCAAATGAGTACCTGGTGCAGCGTGTCGTAAACATGAACACTAGGGAGACAAAGGCGGGTGGCCCGGCGTGGTGGTGCTGGCCACCCACCCCATCGTGTGGCGTGCCTGACTTCTTTAAATTACCTTTTTGTGTGTATAGTTTGTTGTCCTTCCCTGCGCACCTCCGATTAGCCACAGTTGGATACGTAGAGTGCGAAAGAAGTTCAATATACATGGCACGGTTGTCTACATATGGTGAGAAGGAAGTTCAACATATACACATAGGATGGTTGGCTATGTACGGTGCGAAAGAGGTTCAACACACACACGTAGCATGGTTGGCTACGTACGGTGTGAAAGAAGTTCAACATACACACACACACCTCGTCGGTGTCTCTATCTGCTATTTGTATTATTTTATGAATACTCGTCTTCAGAACTTCTTCTTCTGCCATTCCAAACTCAACTCACTCAACGTGCGTTTGTTACAAGGAAACAAACCGTAGCCAGTTACCCAGCTAGCTTCTTCGGTGCCAAACGGCCCCGGCAAGAGCTGCGGCCACTCCCAACAACCGATGTATCGTTGGAGCTGGGTGATGCTGGAGAGAAGACCCAGCGTGCAGCCAGCCAGGGGAACTCGAGGCATCGATTACATATTTTAATAATTAATAGTCGTATGATAAAAAAAAAAAACGAATTATGACCACGCGAATAATCACGCAAATCCTCTTCACGCGTCGGCGGTTAAAACAATTTGAACGTCAGGGTTGGTTGATCACGCCCGATGATGGGAGACTCGGCCATGCCACCGTGGCTTAGGAGAGGTTATCTCCGTCCCCTAGTGTGCTGGAGGGTCGTGGGTTTTATCTCGATCACCCGACCCTGTTGAATATTTGGAGTTTGCGTGTGCCAGTGTATATCTATCTCTCCCTCTCCCCCCGTTGTCGTGCGCATTTTTCTCCCGGCCCTCCGGTTCTTTTTTCCCACCATGTTTAGAAATCAACTTTCAGGCTATAAATGTCCGCATATTTTTCTTGTTGTTGTTGCGTCCGGTACGCTGATGTAGATGCAGATATATCGACTACAATGTCACATTCAGGTGGTCAAACCCGGATAACCACCACGTCAGCCTACGCGTGTATCTGGGTCCCCATGAGTCTTTGGATCTTTATATGTCTCTCTGAGTCTATGGATCTCTCTGGGTCTCTATAAGTCTATGGATCTCTCAGAGTCTCTGTGAGTCTATGGATATCTCTGTGTCTCTGTGAGTCTATGGATCTCTCTGGGTGTCTATGACTCTATTGATCTCTCTGGGTCTCTACGAGTCTATGGATCTCTATCGGTCTCTATGAGTCTATGGATCTCTCAGAGTCTCTGTGAGTCTATGGATATCTCTGTGTCTCTGTGAGTCTATGGATCTCTCTAGGTGTCTATGAGTCTATGGATCTCTATGGGTCTCTGAGTCAATGGATCTCTATGGGTCTCTATGAATCTATGGATCTCTCTGGGTCTCTGTGAGTCTATGGATCTCTATGGGTCTCTATGAATCTATGGATCTCTCTGTGTCTCTGTGAGTCTATAGATCTCTGTGGGTCTCTATGATTCTATGGATCTCTGTGGGTCTCTATGAGTCTATTGATCTCTCTGGGTCTCTGAGTCTATGGATTTCAATGGGTTTCTATGAGTCTATGGATCTCTCTGGGTCTCTATGAGTATATGGATCTCTCTGGGTCTCTATGAGTCTATGAATCTCTCTGGGTCTCTATGAGTCTATGAATCTCTATGGGTCTCTATGAGTCTATGAATCTCTATGGGTCTCTATGAGTCTATGGATCTCTATGGATCTCTATGGGTCTCTATGAGTCAATGGATCTCTATGGGTCTCTATGAAGCTATGGATCTTTCTGTGTCTCTGTGAGTCTATGGATCTCTATGGGTCTCTATGAATCTATGGATCTCTCTGTGTCTCTGTGAGTCTATAGATCTCTGTGGGTCTCTATGATTCTATGGATCTCTGTGGTTCTCTATGAGTCTATTGATCTCTCTGGGTCTCTGAGTCTATGGATCTCTATGGGTTTATATGAGTCTATGGATCTCTATGGGTCTCTATGAATCTATGGATCTCTATGGGTCTCTGTGAGTCTATGGATCTCTATGGGTCTCTATGAATCTATGGATCTCTCTGGGTCTCTATGAATCTATGGATCTCTCAGGGTCTCTATGAGTCTATGGATCTCTATGGGTCTCTATGAGTCTATGGATCTCTATGGGTCTCTATGAATCTATGGATCTCTCAGGGTCTCTATGAGTCTATGGATCTCTCTGGGTCCCTATGAGTCTATGGATCTCTCTGGGCCTCTATGAGTCTATGAATCTCTCTGGGTCTCTATGAGTCTATGCATCTCTATGGGTCTCTATGAGTCTATGGATCTCTATGGGTATCTATGAGTCTATGGATCTCTCTGGGTCTCTATGAGTCTATGGATCTCTATGGGTCTCTGTGAATCTATGGATCTCTCAGGGTCTCTATGAGTCTATGGATCTCTCTGGGCCTCTATGAGTCTATGAATCTCTCTGGGCCTCTATGAGTATATGAATCTCTCTGGGTCTCTATGAGTCTATGAATCTCTATGGGTCTCTATGAGTCTATGGATCTCATTGGGTCTCTATGAGTCTATGGATCTCTCTGGGTCTCTATGAGTCTATGGATCTCTATGGGTCTCTGTGAATCTATGGATCTCTATGGGTCTCTATGAGTCTATGGATTTCTCTGGGTCTCTGTGAGTCTATTGATCTCTATGGGTCTCTATGAGTCTATGAATCTCTTTGAGTCTCTATGAGTCTATGAATCTCTCTGAGTCTCTATGAGTTTGTCTTCCATATGACTGCTGATGTAGATGGCAGAGACAACAACGACTACAATGTCACATTCAGGTGGTCCAAGCCCACGTAACAAGTCAGCAGAAGCTGTAGCGGAGTCGTGAATCATCATCATCAGCGGAGTTGGTGATGTCTCCTCCTTCGTATTTGTAGATCAGCAGGTGCATTGCGATCTCTCTTCTGGGTTACCCACGGTCTCACGCACTCCTTACTACCGGAGAGTTTAAATTTTTTTATGTTTCCATTCGTGCATCATCATCATCAGGTATTAGCCACAGCTGCTGCTTCTGCTATGGCTTTGAGTGGGATGATGCGATTTAGGGTGGACCATGAACAGCTTCGTGGAAGACCAAACGGTGATGACCACGAGGACGGTGATGAGTGAATTCCGCCACTTTGCTGAGTTATCATTTGTGATTGCCAGGTGGCTTCTGACACAAGAACCACGAACATACAGTAGCAGCTCAGCGGGCGCCTTACACAGCCCGGTGAAATTTAACAAATAATAACCCGAGATAAATCGTGTGTAGTTTAGTGGGAGAGGGAGACTGCGGTGGTGGAGAGCAACGGCACTCACCTTCCAAAGTAACGAGTCGGCGGCAGGGGCGGCGGCGGTGGTGGCGATGGTGGCGGGGGTGATGATGGTGGCAACGATGTTGGCGATGGTGGTGGGGGTGATGGTGGCGTTGGTGTTGATGATGGTGGTGTCGACGATGTTGGCGATGGTGGCGGGGGTGGTGGGGGTGGTGGTGATGGTGTGGGTAGTGGCGATGATGGCGGGGGTGGTGGTGGTAATGGGGTTGGTGGCGGTGGGGGTGGTGGGGGTGGTAGTGGGGGTGGTGGGGGTGATGATGGTGGTGATGGTGGCGTTGGTGGCGATGGTGGTGTTGATGATGGTGGTGGCGACGTTGTTGGCGATGATGGCGATGGTGGTGGCCTCTCACGAAATCAATGCAGCGGGGTGCAGCTCTCGTTCCCACGGGGATCCTCCGCTAGAGCTGACGAGGGCGTTCAGATCGCGCGCGGCGGTCACTCTGCAAACGACGACGACAACAACAAAACAGAGCCCCAGGAGGGTTGCGTGAACCAGTGGTGACACTGCCGTGACCGCCATCTCCGGCCGTCGGTCGGCCGCCATACTCGGCCGGGTGGGGTGTTTGTGGCAGAGGTCGCAAACAGGTTTCGATTCCTTACCCGTACGCGTACCCGGCCGCACCAGGGTCGCAAACGGGTACCCGTATCCGGCCGGGTACGGGTAGCCGGGTGACGGGTAGGGTACGGGTATCGGGTACCCGGTTGCGACCTCTGGTTTGTGGTGACCGTCTTTCAATCGCTACGTGCCGTGTGTGTGTGTGTGGTGTGTGTGTTGAACTTCTTTCGCATCGTACGTAGCCAAACGTGCTGTGTGTGTGTGTTGAACTTACTCTTAGGTTTTATCGCTAATGTCACGTAGGTAAAAATAAATAAAAATATAAT